CCGCAAATGCCGCAGGATCTCTTTGTAGACGTGCTGGTTGATTGTTTGAAGGGGAAAGCTCGTAGTTTGTAGTTTGGGATTGAAATATAGCTTTTGTGACACCAGTCCTGGAACTTTTCTGACACACGGCGTATTGTAATGCACAAGCAGCGCTTTCTCAACATTATATGACTTAGAGGCAACACCTAAGCTACATAATGTCGCAACACCTAAACCAAAGCAACATACAAACGATGGTGAGAGTTTTCTGGATTCTCTTGAGAGAAAGGATACAGTAGGGACCTAAATAAAAGCAGAAGTTGTCTACTTTATATTTTAGAGTAGTACAGCACACATTCAGAAATGGTATATGGATAGAAAGTTTGCCAGTCTTGTTTGTAGCAAGGTGCACACTGACCATCGAAAAGTTTGTTAATTTTCATCGTAGGCTGGCCTTGTCAGGGACTGTATTTTTTCCTAACCTGTGTTTATATCCCATAATCCTATACATAGATATTCAGTAGGTAATCTTAACTGCAGTGGCATAGTTGCTGAAATCTGTAATAGCAGGTAGCAGTTCGTAGCACTTAGTATAGAGCCTTCATTAAATGTATCTGGTACTCGTTGCCAAAACACGGATCCAAAGAGAAAACCTGTGACTGGCAGTGCAGGGAAGGTATGAGGTTTTGCTGGCTGATGCTGCAAAGGTTGCAAAGACATAAGACATTTATTTTGGCAGTCTGCGGGTGATGATGAAGACACTGGTGAAGAGGCAGAAACGTCAGAAAGCAATGAGCAGGTGCTTTGTCTTGCTTATATGCTCTGTGCTGGGAACGAGCTCAATGTTTTAGTTAACCTTGGAGTTTCAATGCTGGAGTCCCACTACTGGTTCGATTATTTCCAAGGTTTAACTGTCAAACTTGGTGCACAAATGTTTAAAGAATTTACACGACAATTCTCTAAAATACTTAAAAAATGGTAATGAACTTAGACTGCAAACAGGTAAAATAAACATGTACATTTGATTGTTTTTTCCCAATCTAAACAAACACGTGAGCATGGCTCTAGACAAGAATGTAAAAGGATGGAGGGTTTAGATATCGAGAAGAAAACCTTGATGATTATTATTAACAGCAGTATGAATGAACAGATTCTGCTTTTTTTCTGAAATTACGGATTTATTGATTAGCAAACATGTCGTGTCAGTTCCAATTTAATCTATCAACCCGGAGCTTCTTGAGAGCAAATAGTCACAATGCTTTTTATCACCAGTCTGCTGCTGTTGGTAGCCATTTATAGAGTCTTTACTAATTATCTAGCACCAAAAGGGTTTGATCAACCCGATTTAACCTGCAAAAATTTGTGAAGGTTGCTGTCAGGAAATCAGTTAATGATGAGAAGAGAGAAAATCGGCTGTCAAACATGAAGAGCTGAAAAAGACAGTCTGGAAACTCAAACCAACCCCTTCCCCATGGAGATGCTAAACTCAGAACTCTGTGGCTGGTAGAGAAGATTTTTTAATATCGATATGCAGAAATAAAAATAAGATAAGTGATAAGATAACGGCTATGTTGCAATGCATGGATTTAACAGAGGACTTATAGTTCAACACAAGCCATCTGATTTGATCTTGGCAGTCACTTTAAACATCAAGCAAGAGAAGACAACATATTTCTCTCTACAGTTTTGACAAATTTTATTTTAACAGATGAATATCTTGTGCTTTGAACACCAATTTATGTCTAAAATATTTCTCTGTAAAATTCTTAAAATTACATGATCTAGTCTAACATTATCGAAAAATGTATTAAACTAAACATGCAAACATGTTTTTAAAAATGTATCTGCTGGACATGATGCTTCTACTGCTTCTCTGAGGAAGCCAGTTTGTTCTCAGTTCAGCTTTATTCATATAGCAGCAAATGATAACATATGTCACATGTCAGTACTTCAGGTTTTAGGGTTCTCTTTATCGTCCCATTGGGGTAAATGTGTTCTGCAGCAGCAGTTTAGATATTGACAGAATGCAAAGTGACATCAATAACATCATCAACAATCTGTCACAAACTAATGCAGAAAATAGAAATCCACACCAAATACAAATGAGCAGAGCTGCAAATGTGCCACAGCAGAGCAAAGACACAGCCAGAGTGCTAATTGCCATTAAGTTTATCAATACCATTAGGGATGAGAGAGATATAGAGTCCTTTAGTCCTCTGAACAGATGTCCTCGATTGACAGACTGAGGGCAATGACTTAAAACTCTTTATGGAGGGCAATTGTCCTGGTTGTCCAATATAGCATTACTCCTCCTAAAGACCTGTCTGCTGTAAATGATCTAAAGCCTTGTCTGACTCCTCCCAGAAATATTTTTAAGATCAATGGCATATATTCGTATAAACAAATATCCAACAACTGTCCCCTGAGCAAGTACTCTGTGACGGGGAGAAGGAAAAATTCTCTTAAATGGAAGAAACCTCCGACAAAACTCAAGGTCAGTGGGTGTCTGCCTCAACCAGTTGGGGTCTTTAGTGAATTTCAAGAGAAGTAAGAATAAGCAAAATCCATTTTTTCGTGGATAGGGATTTTAAAATGCCAATCAGGTCAAATAAAACCAGAAAACTTACCACTTTGCTATTCAGTGAAATTTAATGTCAAGCATCTCAAATGATGCATGTATCACAACTCTAAAAATAGCCAGTGTCTTCTTTTGTCAAATGTGCTGATTGTGTTTAGCCTGCAAACAGAGCAGACAGGAGCAGCTGAAAAACACAACCGAGAATAGTAATCGGGCCAAGTTGAAATCCAGGCAAGAATGCCTCCGTATGAGCTCAGTGAGAGCTCCTCAGTGGAAATGAGGAAGCTTAGTCAGCAGACTTACTGCTTAGACATTACTCTGGGATTTGTAGAAGTTCTGGTGAAATGCACAGGTCTTACTGTAAAGACCAGAAGGTATTCTAAAATTGGGACAAATAAGCAGCAAAAGGTGAAAGAAGGACTAGAGGGTACACCAAAAGTACAACCAAAGCAGGTAAAGAAAACACTGTCTTGAAACTATGACTAAAGCAAGTCTCATTTGTAAAAACTCTGGAAAACAAACGGGTGAAGGTCAGCCTGTCTAAGCTGGCTGAAGCCTGTGTCCCAGGAGTACGAGAAGTTCTGATCCGATTAACGGGACGGTGCCTGATCTGTACCCCGAAGGGTCTCCTCTGAGCAGGGATAATGGCGAGAACAGAGTTTTATCTAATCCTGATACTGAAATATGACTGAAAGTACCTCGTGACACTTATTTAAAGTTTGGGTTGCTTGTACGCAAAGAGTCTCATCAGTACAAAACAACGACTACAAAGTACTGAATCATGTGCACCACAGTGTAGGTGTGCGTAAACTAACAAAGGCTTCTGTTTTGCATAAATAGTCTGTTAAAGGAGAAAAATGGAGTTACTTTGTTTGGATCAAACTGCCACATCAGCAAAGAACTGCCTCATTTATCACATGATTCATGTTTATGTATTCAGATATTACTGACGTGGAGCAATGTTTGCTTTTAAACAAATTCAAATGTCTTTTCCTAATGAGAACTATTTTAGGGGGTGCAGAGGGACTTGAGAAGATATATGATTTATTTATAAATTATACTGGAGTGCAGCTACTACGACTGGATCAGCAAGTGCCATTTCAGTGAGTTTCCACAAGATATTAGGCAGAAAAACTCATAAATATTTCACTGAAGCTGAGTTAGTAATGATCTGTAGTTTCTCTGAAACTTCAAAAACTGGACTCTGATATCATGTATAAATGAACTACATATCTGATAGTGTGTTTAAGAATGCCAGATGGCATTCAAGCAATGACCCAGTGCTTCTAAAAAAAAACAGATTTACTGTATTTTTTAGTTTTAACAAATGAAGTGGTAATTAAAGCTGAATACAATTAGAAATATAATATATTCCAACTCAACTCTTTATAACTCTACCTTATAACAGAACAGGTTCTCACACTAATATGGTGAGACATAAAGCAAATGTTCTGGCAAACTGATTGACAAAAAGTCATTCAATAGATAAAAAAACAAAACAAAGCAAGAAAAATCATGTTGTCCTTACAGAGAGTAAAAGTCTTCAGATTCACTGAAGGTTGAATATCTCAAGTCTTGGCTGACGTATAACTTGTATTTATTGGAAAATTTTTCAGGCCTAGATACAGTGTGTCTGTACTGGTACTAGTGTCACGATAGTGTTTGCCTTGGGGATGTGTGTTTTAGAGCCAACATCCTTCTGGCCTCTATCGCATTTTATTTGTCCAAGTCTGTTTGTCCTTCCCAGGAGCTCTTCCAATAAAAGAGGCAGGAAACATTTGGTTATATTTTTTGTGGACACACAAAAAACCTCTGTTGTTGTTTTAAGAGCTCTCCGTGGTGACAGAAATAGGAACACTGGCCACGGGTTATGTGTGTGTGTCTGTGTGTCTGTGTGTGTGGTGTGTGTGTGTGTGTGTTGTCTTCTTCCCACTCTCATACTAAATATTGAAGCTGAGTTGGGGGTGGGTTTGACTCCGTTGTGTGAAAAGTGAAGAACTTTTACCTGCAACCTACACTGCTGTGGCAACACACACATATATAGGACTGTACTACAGTGTGTTCTCCCAGCAGTATAGCACCTTCATTACCTGCTTAGACTACAGTCAGCTGTTTTATCTGATGTCTGTGTTTGCATCTGGACCAGGATGTAGGGAAACAATAATACCACATTTGCTTTAATGAGAAAATTGGCTGCACTTAATCGCTAAATTCCCAGCCCAATTCAGAGTTTAATGATGTTTGTTTTACCTTTCATAAGCTCGTCTGTCAGTATACACATGCTGCAGCACAGAATAAGAATTTATTTTAGGGATGCTTGTGTTTCATTGTCCCTATATAGTGTATTACTTGTTTAGTTTATGCAGTTTATGTCGTGTCCTTGATAAGACCTGATGCTAATACTGTATGTGGAGATGAGTGGGCAGTGAAACAGTCTACTCACCCAATCCTAGGCAAGATACTCTGAGTCCTGACTTTCCAAGGTTCCTGCATAAACAGAAGAGGAAAAAAAGGATCAGATCTTTTGAACCTGCACACATTCCTCTACCAAAAAAAGCAGATCTGGATCAACGGTGGTGACATGGAGATCGTGTTAAACCTTTCAGCATTCTTGTCTTTTCACTCAAATAAAAACACTAATAACAGAACAGCTGTGAGGTCAAAATGTATGTAAGCGAACTAATATCCACTAAATGATTTACCTATACAACTTAATTGCATCTCCATTACATTTTGAGGAAAACATATCTTCTGCCAGATCACAATACTTTTTTAATCAACAAATCTGCCATTTATTTTATTGCTTTTCTGTTGCTCCTCTTCAGCCACGCATTGATACATTACATGGGTTGGATTTGGTATCCAGAAGATGGAAGAGAAACTTCAAACATGTAGTGAAAAGGGTCGATTCTTACCCAAATCATGATATTTTTTCTAAACCTAACCAAGTAATTTTGGTGTTTAAACTTAACTAAACGTCTAGCATGTAGTTATTGCTGTGTCAACCAAAGTATGGTATTTTCTTACACCATACGACCCAGTTTTAATGCATAAACCTAACAGCAACTGAAAGACTTTAGCTCTTTCAAACTGGAAGCTTTTTTTTTTTTTCATCAGAATTGAGAAAATAAGGTTGAACTGATGTTTAATTTGCTTCAAAATTCTATCTAGTCATTGCTTGACTCATTGCAAACGTTACCCTAATCACTTTCAAAGTTGTATTTTGATGCAGATTTCAACCTGTAGTACATGAAAACTGTGTATGCAGCATGGTGTCAGGGACGCTGGCAGATAAGAGAACAACAAGCAGGCCTTTCATTTCTACAAGAGGCTGGATGCAGCTTTGCCTCGGATAATCACATGACAGCTTGACAGCACGTCTATCTGCTTGATTTCTCCATGACAGGAAATTAAATTACTCCTTCCCTCCAGGTAGGTGCTCTGACACCATCCACCTCCTACCATGTCCAAATAGGTGTGTGTGCACGTATGTGGACTTGATGGAAAATGGCTATCTGCCCTTTGATGTTATGGTTGATTCAGCAGGGAAGAGGAAAAAGGAAACGCTCATCAATATCAGACTGCAGAGACCAACACGATGAAAAGCAGATAAGCAGAGTAAAGAGAAAACAAAATGGAAATTAAAAAAACTATACTGCACACACAACTGTGAGGGATATTAGCACACAACACAGACGTAACTTGCATTCCTCAAGATCGATTAAAGGCGCCTGTGTGTGTCTACTATAACTGAATGCATCTTATTAGCTTTCTAACAGCCTCATTAGCTGTGTCATTACCACCACACACATTTACTAATGTACAATCAGTATAACCATGCTTTTCTTTGGAGGTCCACTCCTGTCCTTGTACACCATAATCCCATATGCTGTCTTTGCACCGTTACAAACTCGAAAAATCATGGACATGCTGATTATAGTGTTTATGATAGCTCAAGTCATTGCCGCTTTGCAACAACTGCCTAATAGCTGCCTATTATTATAAATGCTATTATTTCACATTTCATTTAAACTTGCATTTATTTCATGTGACCACTTTGGGACAGCACAACTAGCTACAAACACATCGCTGACGTATTTTCACCTCACCACAGTGTCCCATTATCTAGTCACAGAGCAACACTGTTTTTTTCATTTAGAGGTGGGTTTGGATCCACAAATCTAATATCCAACTGTGTAATTGATGAAATTTATGAGGAACATTTAGGTAAATGAGTCCAATGGTGGTAATAAACATCAAGTGACCTGTTAAAGTCATGTAAAATGTCCTAATCGACAAGCATTTTTGTCATTGTATCCAATAATCCAAGACCATTATTCACTTTCCTATTGGCACTCTCCAACTCCCGAGAGAAATATCTGGGTATTTAGCTGCCAAATGCATCACTATGTTCAACAGCCAAAAGCTGAACCCAAAAAGAAAGTTGATGAGAGCAGTAAGACTGAACCAAAACAGTGGGTTTGTCACTCAGTGACAACTTAACAGCATATACTATTTGAAATATGTTAGTGTTGCTTTAAACAGTTTTCATATTCAATTTTCTGTACAGCTCCTTGGACAACATGCATTGTTTTTGAATGTGTTCTAAAAATGAATTGGCTTGACTTGACGAGGGGAAAGGCATAATTCCACTCTCAGATTACAGTTTCAAAGCAGAGGTTGTCCTGCCTGTCTGTTCCAGGCTGCACTGTGGGGATTCGTGCCACGTCCAATCAAGCCTAGAGGAACATTTATTGTCCTGTCATGTCAGCTTCCTGTGACAGCATCCACTGAATGGATGACTGCACACACACACACACACACACACACACACACACACACACACACACACCCACACACGCATACACAATCACATATAGTTTTAAAACAGACTTTAGAGTTTTTAGCAGGGGCAAAGCTAAAACAGCTGCTCCAATTCATCAGCTTGCAGGCGGTACACGTCGAACAGTTTTTACTTTTGTACTCGCTCAGAAGCCTTTTTTTTTTTTTTTAAAGAGGATACTTTAAATTTGATCTAGAATTCAAACCCACATCATCATTCCTATCAAACTTCCTACTTTATGAAGATGTGAGTAGAAAAAAATTAAGCATCGTGGGTCATATTGTGCAGACTTCAAATAAGTAGATTTAAAGAAAAACTTATGTCACAGTTAAGATATGTACATCTCATCAAGCAGCTAAAGCAGGACACACACAAAATTTGATTTTCATGCAAACATTTAAAATGCAGAAAAGCAGAGAAAATCTTTTTGTCTCTACTGTACATGTTGTTCTGTTGACAAAAAGCCCTAAAGTAACTCCTGGAAAACCCATTTTCACGTGTCCTAATGAAGCATCTGATCCTATAAAGTATAAAATCAAATGTGCAGATTAATTCTGCTTTAAAATCTTTGCTAACTTTATTTGTAAATCAATTGAACACATATGCAATCCCGGTTTGCATTTAGGTTTGCATTAGACATGTGCCTGGCCTCCATAAAGCCTGAGGTTTACAGGCTTAGCCTTGTTTAATAATTAAACAGTACATTATTCACAGCTGTCAGCAATCTTTCATTTTTGCTCACCTGTCAAAACTACTTAAGTTATTCATTGCCGATGTAGCCTCAATATCAGAATAGTTAATTGGGCATAAAAATCTAACCACCTTCAAAAAAATCAATTTTGGATGATGCATTAGATCCTCTGTGGTCTTTGAAATATCCACAAAGGACAGTCAATAATTCTGAACAAGGTGCCTTTGAAGAACAAGTAACAAGACTTACTTGCTCTTCAAACAACAAGTAGCAGGAGTTAGTTTTGCTCCAACAAAACAGCAGCAAGAGATTATTATTTAGAGATGTGGTTCAAGCTAATTTTCACATACACGCATGACTAATTTTACACCATGTTTCTGGACTTTATTTATGAAGTACTGCATGTTCTTATTCACATCAGTTCCTCCAAGGAAACACACATGGGCCGTAGAATTTGTTTGAAGACTGTAAACAACAATTAGGAGAGTAAAACCAACTCCATGGTGCAGCTGTAGTTTACGGCAAACCGGGCGAGAGCATTTTGCTGTCTTCACCAAATATTCGCAGCACCAGGCTTAAGTCCTCCCAGTGACCCCGAAAAAAAAAAAAGCATGAGTGCAAGTTATGTAAAGTAGTTTCTCTCACAGAAAAGATGAAGACATTTTTTTTTTAAGTCCAAAAGTTATGGGCTGTAGTCAGGGCAGTTTTTTGAATTTAGATCATGGAAACTGGAGGTGCTGAGTCAGACAGTGGATGCCCCTGCTGGCGATTACTGATGATGCTGCTGTTTCCCAGCCACGATCGTGAATAATGGGGATACAGGTGCACTCTATTTCAGGTCTAAAGAGAAAAGCTTGGCTGGAGCCAGGACTAAACACAGACAGATCCCTTAACAAAGCAAAACACTGTAATGAGTGACAAAGCAACCACCGGTCCATTGAGAGCGTTTGTGTTGCAAATGAAGTGATGTGGGTTTATGTCTGTAATGGAGCGTTTTCATGGCTCTGGCACAAAGCCCTAATACACTGCAGTGTATAGATTCACTTCTGTTAGTCTGGCCTCAAAAACACTCCACAGAAGTCTGCCATGGCATTTGATTAAACAGAAGCTGGTAGTGGATACTTTTGGTCCTGTGCAATGTGGGATAGGGTCTCAATGGAGTGGATGTTTTATAATACGTCCCACAGTTTCGCAATCAGTTTCAGATATGAGGAGCTTGGAGGTTGCGTCAACACCTTGGCTTTTGGTCATGTTCCCTGAGACATTCCAAAGCAGTTTTTGTAGTGTGGCAGGGTGCATTTTGGGGTTGGACAGCTCTAGTCAGTGAATGCTGTTGCCATGGAGGGATGTGATTGGTCTGGCAGCACTTTTAGGTGTGTGGTACATAGTCGAAGTAACCACATGACTGTCAGGACCCAAGGTTTCCCAGCAGAACATTGCATTGTAACTTGATGATCAATGTTCTTCACTTCACGAGTCAAAGGTTTTAATGCTTTGGCTAAACAGTGTACATCCATTCATCCATTATCTACACACCACTTTATCCTCTGTAGGGTCATGGGGGGCATCCCAGCTGACTTAGGGTGAAGGCAGACTACACTCTAGATCAGGGGTGGGCAATCCTGGTCCTCGAGGGCCACAATCCTGCATGTTTTAGATGTTTCCCTCTTCCAACACACCTGATTCAAATGATTAGCTCATCATCAAGCTCTGCAGAAGCCTGATAACGATCCCGATCCCCTGCTCTAGATAGTTCAACAGTGTACATTCAAGTGACAAATTATGACATGAGCAAAGGTCATGTGACCTTGTTATGCAGCACCAAAGGCTGTATTTCAAGGAGGGGTTGAAAAAAAAATTGGACTTCAACTGTTTGTTTTCAAGTTTAAAGTGATGGTCAGTGTTGTTTTGGCACCTAAATCTAACCTCTAAGAGTTTAACTGTTTATCTGGG